CTGGATCAAGGGGGTGGTTTGCCCTATGCTGTTCTCGTGATACTGTGTGAGTTCTCAGGTGATATGATGGTTTTATAAGTGCCTGATAGTTCCTTCTGCATTCATTCTCCCTCCTGCTGCGTTATGAAGAACTTGCCTTGCTTCCCCTTGCCTTCTGCCATGATTATAAGTTTCCTGAGGCCTCCCCAGCCATGTGGACCTGTGAGTCAATTAAGCCTCTTTCCTTTATAAATTACCCAGTCTCAGTCAGTTCCCTATAGCAGTATGAAAATGGCCTCACACAGCTATCATATTACCTCACTTTTAGATGACAACTTTCCCTTTGATTAGTAAAGAAACATCTTCATTTGTGAACAAGTCATGTTTCAAAAGTCTTTAAGCCAGTTGTTTTAAACTTGGAATGCTTTTCCCCCAGAAACATGTTATAAATGGTAATCAAAGTACACTAGTCCACATAAGCATATTTCATTCATAATATAACTTATCTATTGTCCCAAAATATAGGGACACACGATAAGAGCTCATAAATTACATGTAAAACAGAGGTTTTGAATGAAAAACTCTAATGTTCCATCCTCAAGACACTTGAGGAAAAGCAGGCTTAGAGGCCAAGGGGGAGGATGAAAATTTTGCTGAAGATGATGAAGTGGGATCCTGGTACTATTCATACTTTAGTACCTGATAACATTTGCCCTTATTTATAACATTATGTCAAAACATATAACAGGTGTAGCAGCCTAAGTTTCCTTTATGCTCATTAGGCACGGTTAGTGTTGAACTTTAGCTTGTAAATAGAGAAATAAAAAGTACCCCTCACTGGAGTGGCAGTGGTGCTAACTAAACCACTTGAATCATTCATTTGTAGCCCTTGCTTTTCTTTATTTGATCATTTGATAAATGATTTCTTCATTGGCCCAAAGATCTAGGAGGGTAGATAGCTCATCAGTTTTTGCTAACCATTACATCCCCAGCAGTTAGCAGAGAGCCAAGTACACAGCTGCTCAAAAATAATTTTTGCATAAATGAATGGATGAGTGAATTAACAAGTGAATAAGAAAGAGAAAAAGGAGTGGCCTATGAAACATAGAATTATAGATGTGTTAAAAATGAGTCTCTGGCATTACATTGATTATTCTCTGTGCGGCCAAAGAGAAGAAAGAACACTTGCCCAAACAGGGGCATAGAAGGAGTTTCACAAAGGATAAAAACAGTTAATATGATGATTTGCTTGCTGAAAATGGAGTAGTGCAGTGTGACCAAGTTTGGTTTGGTTGCTGTTCCAAAATAAGAGGGATTGGGATTGATCAGCCTTAGGATGGTTGAGTGGCAAAGGCCACCTGCAAGTACGATTAGTGGTGTACCAAGGGTGGGCCAGTAGGAGAGGTCTGCACAGCAAGCAGCCAAAGGGGTGGGTGGCAGCACTATCTGTAGAGAATTTAAAAAGAAAATCAGTCTGTTTTTTCAGTATTACTTTATAGCTTCAATTCTAAAAAATGTCAGTGATAAAATATTCCTCTGTAACAAGACCATTTTTGGTCTAAGTTCTAAAAAATTCCTGTAGTTACTGTTTTAAGTTTTAATTACATATATGTAAATTTCAAATTAGCATATTTTAATTACTTACTCTTTAATAAACCTTGCACTCTAAGTTGGAATTAATTCAGAAAACTTCTAGTTGTACAACAGGTCCCCAACACAGGTGGCCTTTGCTACATGTTTGTTTAAAAGTAACATCCTCATAGGGCAGTTCGAAAAATAATTTGTTTGTTTCTTGACGTAAGTATTTAGGGCTGGTCGTAGGTGTTTTAGCCTGCCATTGCCAGAAAATAGAGCATGATACAAGGATCTGCTGAAAATATTTTATTGGGAAGTGTGATCCCAGGAAACATGTGAGGAACAGATGGAGCGAACCAAGGAAGGATGGGGAGCCAATACTAGGATGTGTTATAGAGCTGGACATTGCTTTGGGAGAATGGCAGCTTTGTTTGGCAAAGACCACCTGAGAAGCTCCATGGAACACATTTCTGAATCCATTCCTTGAAGATGGAGAGAGGACTATTTATCCATGGGCTCCCACCATAGGCTGTTTAATCTCTCACACTTCTAGGCTTTAGTTCACATTGTAATTTCAACCAAAAAGCTCTGGGTGGGTGTGAGAAACAAGAGGAGCCTAGAGCAAAGCACTTTCAGATTGTACCTGTGTGAAGCTGGCTGGAGCCCACTTAGAATTGGTTGCTCCTGCAGTGGCTAAAAGTAACAGGTAAGGCCCAGATAATTTGAAGTGATGTATGGAGGTTGTGATATATGACAAGTTATATGATTTTATTACAGATTTGCAATTTTTTATTTTATAGGTTCCTTTCCTATGAGGACTTCAGGGTCCTACATATCATAATCATTGGGTCTGACAGAAGATTCTCAAGTTTTCACCGTTTGTTATTCCTCTGAATATTTACTGAATATCTACTAATATTTATTGAGAATGCCAGGGTTTGTGCAGGGATAGAAATGTAAATATGACACATTCTTGACCCTCATAAAGCTCTCGTAAACCTTTATCAACGATGTGCCTTCCACCGTACTAGCATACAGTACCACCACTTCCTCTCTCCCTCCCTACCCTGCCTTTTCGTTTTTTAAAGAAAGAGTCTTACTCTATCAGCCAGGCTGGAGTGTAATGGGACAATCATATCTTTCTGTAACATGGAGCTCCTGGGCTCAAGTGATCCTTCTGCTTCAGCCTCCCAAGTAGCTGGGACTATAGGCATGAGCCATTACACCTGCCTAATTTTATTATTTTTTTTTGTAGAGATGGAATCTTGCTATCTTACCTAGGCTGGTCTTGAACTCCTGGCCTCACGTGGTCATCTAGCCTTGGTTTCCCAAAGTGCTAGGATTCCAGGCATGAATCACTGTATCTGGCCAGCACTTTATATATATATATAGATAGATAGATAGATAGTCTTCTTATACAATCAGAATTACTAGCACAATGAATAGTAAATGCTATGCAAATCTGAAATGACCAGAGCAGCGTCCTATTAGATAAACTACTCCACCATTTTTGCAGGAAGTCTCTTACCCACAGGCTGTAATGGCTTATGTCAGCCCTGGGAGTAGAGGCTGTTTACTTTATTATGTATGCACTGCCTAGGGATGGGGAGGCTGAAATTTAGACAGATTTCTGTACTTATCTGTAAGGCACCTCTGAGGCATAAAAGAACATTTGGAGAAGCTGAAATCCAGGAGCAACATCAGTAGCAGGAGTGGCCACTCCTCCACTCACCTGGCAGTCTTCCCAGGCGGAAGGTAGAAGATGCTTGGCCTCCCTGCCAGCACTTCTTCCTTGAGCATCCCACTGGCCAAACCACCACCAGCAGTCTCCACCCATAGTGCCTGGTTGCAGGAGCCAACTCGTTTCAGCACGTCCCTAGAAGCACTCAGGTGGAAAATACATTGATTCATTAAAACCTTTGATGCAAAGTTAGCTGCATTCTGTCTGTCACAAGGAACATGCCATGCCAGGGACATATTTATATGACGATAAACTTTTAGTGCCTTAGAAAGCTGCTGAATAAAACTAAAATCAGACTAAAATTAATTAGATACTAACATTTTGGAGAGCAGTAAGTTTTCCTAGCCCTGTTAGTGGTTTCCTTCACTCCAGACCTATCTTCTGGTCTTCCGTGACAATGAAGCCCTTGGTAACATCATGCTTATTACCCCCCGAATTAGCTGATGTATGAGGAGCTGTCACTGTTCCTTAGTATTCACATTAAACTCTCAGGGCGGAATGACCAGAGCATGCCGGGTGCTTTATGTGGCAGTCAAGGCAGCGAGGCTGCTGGAGGCTTTCAAGGGGAACTTGCCACCCGTGGGGCATGGTGGGGCCTTTGTGTAGCTGTGAACAGGGCAGAGGTCCCAGGCTGGGAGCTGGAAGGCCAGAAAGGTAAACTCAATCGGCTTTTTAAAGCGCTTGCTCTAGTGACTGAGCACATAGCCCTCTAGAAGCAGCCCTACTTCGCTCTCCAAAGAGAATTTCGTGTTTCAAAAAAAAGTAACGGTTTCCTCTGGGGGAAGAGATCTGCAGTCCTGGGGTGCCTTTCTTTTGGTGCCAATGGTAGAGAGCATTTGAGGAAATGCACCAGCTGTGCTTGCCTTAGAGGCAGATGTGAGTTGCTGTGTGTGTGTAGGTGGCGAGTGGGGAGGGTTAAGGCTGCTTCTCTGCTGGGAGGAAAAGAAAGGCAAAAGTGTGAGGATTCACAGACCAGGGAATGAGTACAGTCCCTTCTCCACCACAGCAGTGTGGGAACGGAGGGAGTGCAGTCAGGGGGTCCTGGGACTTGGGTGGGTGGTGCAGAAGTGACCAGGAAGGCTGAAAGGGTGGAGTTGCAATTACCAAGCCACAAATCAATCATCCACCCCTTCAGAGTCCCTCTCCTTCATGAATACAAAAAAATGTTTAACACATATTGGGGGCAGAGAAGGAGTGAAGAGATTGCACCACGTTAGCTCCTTAGTCTAATTCCCTCCTTCACAAGGTACTCGGATGACCCCAGGATCTCAATGTTTCGGAAAGTCTTAGGAGCCCTCACTGGGAGGCACGTTTTTAGTCCAGAAGCACAGCATTTGATGGTTTAATCTTCACACTACAAACTGGCCTTGGCACGTTAAATAAACCATGTTAACCTCGATGTGCCTCAGTTTCCTCTCTGTCCCAGGAGAGTAACGCGTTCGCTCTCTGCACGGGGCTGTGGTGCGGGTGAGACTGAATGCAGACTGCTAGCGCTCTTCCAAGCCAGCACCACGCTCTCTCCACGGCAGGAAAGCACGTTGGCGTGATCTCGAGCCCCAGAGGGCTGAAGGAAGACTCGAGCTCTAAAATTAGTCCCGCTTCCAGGCCCGGCGCCGGGAATGCCCTTCAGCTGGCCGCGCCTCCCACCCCGCCCCCTCCCGCGCGCCTCCTCTCCGGTGCGCCACGCTCTGAGATCGCTAGTCATTCCCGACGCCGAGGCTCCTCTCCCCCTCGCTCGCCCTTTTAGCTCGCGGTTTGGGAGGAGGAGACTGCGAGAGAAAGGCGCGAGGGGGAGACGGGAGAGGGGCTTGGCCGTGCGTCGGCGTCGGCCTTGATGGGGAGCCCGGAGCAGCCAGGCGGCGAGCAGTAGCGGCGGCGGCTGCAGCTTGGAACAGACACGAGAGCCGGCGCTCCTCCCGGCAGGCTGCGCTGTGATTTGGGCTGCGGACTGGGATCTCGCGCCCCCGTCCCTCTCCTCCAGCTGCTGCTCTCCTCCCCCCGGCTCCCCTCCTCCGCCTGCGAACCCCAGGCGGCGGCGGCGGCTGCGTCCCGAGCGCAGAGCGCTTCTGCTCGCGGCCTCGGTCCCGGCTAGCGCGCGGTGGGTACTGCGGTGGCGGCAGCCGGGGGGCCGGCTCGCCCGGAGCAAGAGAGCCGAGCACCGAGTAAGGAAGACTACGGGGGAAGCGCCTTGTAGAGCCGTGGATCGCCGGCGGAGGCAAGGGTGCGTGGGGATTTCTAGCGTGATGATTTGGCTGCTTGGTGCACCGGCTGGAGCGCGCCGCGGGAGTACAGCCCCAGCTGCTGGGTGCAAATGGGCTGCGAGGTGGGCTCGGGAGGCGAGAGCCGGCGGAGCGCGTGGGGGAAACTTTTCACCTTGTAAAGTTCCAGCCTCCTCGCAGCCCCGGAGCAGCCGTCGCTGCCGCTGCTAGCAGAAAGGGAAGGTGGTTCGGCCCTGCGGCGGGAGCCGGGAGGTTTACACGGAGAGTTGGCCAAGTTTGGAGCTGAGGATTTGGGGAGGGGTTGCGAGGGGGCTTGCGGATCGGTGCACGCATCCCGGGATCCCAGCCGCCCGCTGCAGGTGGATTGGAAGGTTCAGGTGGCGATCCTGCTTGGCAGCTGGTGCTTCTCGGGAGCAGTGGGGGATGTTCAGATGCTGATGGATGCACTTAGAGCACCCGTAGGTGCAAGTTGCGTTATCGCTAGGAGAGGCGCGGTGCAGAGCAGGGAGCCCAGGCTCCACTTTCGCTAGGAGGGGGAATATGTTACCAGTCTGCAGGTCCGTTCCCCACGCCTGACTCGGGCTTGCGGGGCTTGTGAGCAGGGTGAGATGTACTGAACGACGGCGGCGGCGGCTCTTCGACTGGGGTCGACATCCTTTACGGAGTGGTTGGGAGCAGAGACTATCCCTGCTATCTTGACAAGGAGAGGGAACCGGAATGCTTTGCGAGAGTGCATGATTTTTGGCGGGCGTGTGGGAAGGCTGGTTGTCTTTGAAAAGAAAGCAGCGCGGGTCTGACCGTCCCAGGAGCGTGGAGGAGCTGCCTCCGGGTGGGGGCGAGAGAACACCAGGGGCACCCGCTCCGTTCTCAGGCACCACTCACGAGCGGTGCGGGGTAAATCCCTTCGACCAGGCCAGTGTGTGTGCAGGGCCAGGGTAGGGGGCTGAAGGGCGCTGGCTGGGAGGCAGTGGAGGTTGCCTGGAACATCTTGGGGCGGCGCGCTGTGAGCGCGAGGATTCCGCCAGTGGGAGTCGCTGAGCTAAAGTGTATCTGGCCCCCCGGCTTGCGCGCTGGCGAGCCCGGGTATTTTTAGCTGTGCTGTGGTCTCAATTCCCTCCTCCCCTCGCTCGTTGACTTTTGTCGCGTGTGCTTTCCGAGATGGTTAAACATTGACCACGATTACGCTTTGGGGAAACCAGCTTTTATTCACTTTCAGCCGTTCTCTTGTGGGCAGGGCGCGGGGGCTGTGCTTGGGGCAAGGATGCGGGGGTGGCGGGAGTTTGGCTGTGAGCTAAGAGAGCCGCTTGGTTTGCCCGGGAGGAGAGGAACGGGGACGCTCCTGGAGTGTGGGTGTGCTGGCGGTGACATCCTGAGGCTGCAGCTCACTAGAATAATGGGCTCAAAGCAGGAGATGGAGAAGGGTCCGCGAAATGGACGTCGGGGGCGGGGAAGCTGCAGACACCCTGCGAGGTCTCGGAGGACTAGGAGAGGCTCCCGGGAGGTAGTGATGCCTGCGGCCCGGAACGCGGGCGGCCGGTGGCTGTGGCCCGCGGAGTCCGGTGCACCGAATCTTAGAGCCTCGGCCCGGAGCTCCAGCTACATCCCACCGCCGCTGCGTGCCCACTGGGACTCCGCTGAGCGTTGGGACGAACATGCTGCAGCAGTGGCGGGAGGGAGGGACGCCGAGACCGCGCTAATGATTGAAGTCGTTTCTCCCCCTCTCCCCTCCTCCCGCTCCTCTCCGCCCCCAGACTTCGGCGCGTTTGTTTTCCAAGTTGGATCCCACTTCCATTTACAAGTGTCAGACAAACCCGCGAGAAACTCACCCCGCCCGCCCCGGCCCCAGCCAGACTAGGGAGGGCGCGCGGGGGGAGGCGGCGAACTGTCTGGGCAGCGCCTGGGGAGGTGCGACGCGCCCACCCCGGGCTTGACCGGTTGCAATTTTATAAAATATACACATAAACAGCAACACGGTCCAAACCACTCCTGGCTACTTGTATTCCGCCGCTTTTCTCCTCCTTGCCTCGGTCATATTAATTTTCTGGCCCCGACGCTAGTCTTTTCAAAGGCGAGTCTGGGTAGTGGGAGGAAGGGGCGGGGGAGCAGGCCGACCAGTTCATCACGGTGGATTTGTGCTCCTGGCTTTGTTGCTAGGATTAGATTCTCTGATTGCGCCCAGGCTGAGTTAAAATAAAAGCAGAGAGACAGAGAAGCGGCCAGAAAGACTGCAGCCGGCTTTGCCCGTATCCAGGCGGCAAACTCAGGTGGTGGAAAGGGGAAGCCCGCCATCTAGGAATTGAGGACCGAGGTGCCCACATCTCAGTATCAATCAAACAGAGCCCAGATTTCTTCTCCACTAGCAGGCACTGAACTTTTCTTAACGTTTTTTGAACGCTTGAATGATGTTCTGGTGTGACGTGGAGATTTGAATCTGAGAAGGAAAGGAAGGGAGGAGGGGATGGAGGAGAGAAGAGAGAAGAGATTTGAGAGATTGAGATTCTTCAGAATCGTAGAAATTGCACAAAGCCAACTGCTTCTGCTTTCTTTTTTTTTTTTTTTTTTTAAGTCCTTATTCCTAAATTGGAGCAGTTGAACAGTGAGGGAATAAGGAACAGACAAGAAAACCAGGACTCCAAGAGACAAAGAAAAAAAAATGTGTAATAACTTTAGCACTTTGATGTGCTTTTTATTTAATAGGGTTGGAATGGGGAAAGGTTTATTTTTTTCTTAGTATTTCACAAGGATAAAAGTTGTTTGTTAGAATTAAACAGAATGTTGATATTCAATCATGAATCTCAGTTGTTGCCTTTTTGGAACTTGAACAATGAGTGGTGCTGGGGCCAGTTTCTGTGCACAGTGCACTGGGATGAGAAAGTTCCCAGAACTGTCCGGTTATAATGTCTTCATATCTGAATCACACGGAGAACTCCACATGAAAGGCAGCTGGCTCAGAGATCAGAAATCAGTCAGCTGCTGGGCTGGCTCCATCTCTTGTCACTGCAGGATTTTCACAGCCAGTGTTTGTTGACCAGTGACTGGCTCTCCAGCCTTCTAAAAATCTTTCTTTCAAATTTTATTTATTCTGGTCCCTGGCAGAGTCATTTTGGGGATTTTTTAATAGGACCCAGTCTGTCTGTTAACTAGCAATTACTGTTGTGCTGAGCTACTCAAAAATGAAATGAGTAGCAGTAAACAGTGGATGCCCACTGACCTGTATGCTATATGGTTATTTTGCTAGCCCACAGCTTTTTGTAAAGCTATGGCTCTCCAGGCTGCTCATAGAAGAACATTTTGATGTGTCAGTTTATGTTATCATCCTTGCTTTCTTCATACAATCCTAAATGACCTGCGCTAATCTGGCTGATGAATTATGTCAGATAGAAAGAAGGCAATTACCAGGCAGGAGAGAGTACTTAGTCATTACCAGCAGGTCTGAGGAGTGCTCCTGGTGGCTGTGTGTTGTGCTATATTAATAGCTCACAAAGCAAAAAGGCCCATTGTGGCTTTATTTTACCAGTTGTGGAGTTTGGCTATGGCATTCCTTCAGAGCCCACATCTGTCCAGTTGCCTGGTGGGTAAGCTTTTTCCTCTAGGGCAAGAAGGAAAGGGATAATAATGAGGATATTAGATTTTTTCCATTCTGGGGTCACGCCCAGGTTTTTTCCTTTTGCAGGAGCCTTGAGTAAGGATCATCTGATGGGAGCAGGTGGGCCTGTCCATTTGAATTGATTTCCTTTGATTGCTGAAGAAGGACTATTGATGAACCACTTCTTTGCTGATTGTGGCAAACATGAGAGTTGAAATGGAAATTTAAAAGAAAGGGATCTGACAGACTTAGAGCGAAGGATTTGTATTCTACCCAATTCCTTTCTGCAGATAGCAGAGCCTCTGATATGCAAGGTCTTAAAAATGTTAAAGGAAACACAACTTTTGTGTATGTAGTTTTACTTACTGGTGTAATTTTCTGCAATACTGTTTTGATCTCCAGTTGTTGAATAGGTCATTGTCAGCATCTTTCTACCCAAATTGTGAGGATTGGGTCTTTGTTTTATAATATATCCTGACCTTTCTTGACCTCTTGAGGTTCACCACAGTGTGACAATTTCCTCTGGGAAGACTCGGAGATTAAATATCTTTTCTGTGTTTTGATCAATTTAATTCTACAGGCTTCTGAAACGTACTGAGTTTTCTGTCAGTTGCAGAGTATCTACTCCTTTAATAAGCTTTGTTTACATTGCCTCCCTTTCCTCAAATTTCTAAGAGTAGTTTTCAGGAAAGCATACCTTTTCTTGAAAAAGAAATTCAGCTTAATGACACAGACTGAATTTATTGAGAACATATTTGACACTTGTCTAGTGGCTTCAAGCCAGTTTCTGGTCTACCAAAATAGGCTATCAGTTACATGTAATAGTGACAAATGACCCATTCTAGCAGTTCTGAATTGGAATGGCATTTTCAGGTTAGTCTTAATTTTAGCGTATTCTAGGACTTAGATTTTTTTTTTTTTTTTTCCTGTGAAGTGGAAGGAATGAAAATTTGAGAATAGATTTACTGGCATGATGATAGAGAATAAAATACAAATTTCAGAACTTAATGAATCATACTCTTTACATAAAGTGTTATTTCCCTCACTTAATAGATACATATGAATATGGAAGACCTAAAAGAAGTGTGAGGAGGGCCACAGCATGTCCTTCCTTGAACAGTGCATTATTGAGTGTGTTACCTCCCCTGGACAGAAAAGTCACACTGGAGACCCTGAGAGGAATCCCTGAGAGGATATTAGTATTCTAACTTTCTGCTCTTTCCAGGTTCCAAGACTGTGAATTATAGACTCTTTAATAAAGAAAAGTTGTTTCATTAACTCCTGCCTTTGTACATCTGAAATACATCCCTTTTTAAAATTTTGTAAAGTCACATGGAATTTAAAATAACTTATTTTT